TAGTCCTCATATTCACATTTCTAATGTTCACCTGTCCCTAACATTCATGTGTTCCTCATGTTCACATGTTCCTCTAGTTCAAATGTTCCCCATGTTCACATGTTCATCATAATCACATGTTCCTCAAGTTCAAATGTTCCCCATGTTCACAAGTTCATCATAATCACATGTTCCTCAAGTTCAAATGTTCCCTATGTTCACATGTTCATCATAATCACATGTTCAAATGTTCCTCATGTTCAATTTTTCTTAACATTCCCGTGTTCCTCATGTTCACATGTTCCTCATGTTCAAGTGTTCCACATGTTCACATGTTCATCATAATCACATTCATCTGTTCCTTGAGTTCGCATGTTCCTCTTCTTCACAGGTTCCTGATGTTAAGTTGCTCCTATTGTTCATGTGTTTCTCATGTTCATGCGTTCTTCATGTTCACATGTTCTTAATGTTCCTAACGTTCACATGTTCCTAACGTTCACATGTTCCTCATGTTCATGCGTTTGTCATGTTCACATGTTCCTAACGTACACAGGTTCCTTATGTTCATATGTTCATCATGTTCACATGTTCCTCATGTTCATGTCAGACGTGTGAAGGTTTGTGGGAAAGTTAAATCCAGGATGAAGTTCTAAAAGTCTGGTCTTACTTCTCTTGGATCAGGTCGTACTCCTGCAGAACCTTCTTCTGGGCCTCGTCGTCTCGAGCCAGCCCGGCCTCCTGCAGCTGAGACAAAAAGAACAAATTCTCAGACGAACATCTACAACTGCAGTCAACCTGACTAAAGATGGCCGCCACATCTAATTTACATCTACAACCACATAAATGGCTGTAACAGATACTGGGCTAGAATTTGGTGTGGTAGTAGTTGAGAGTCATCCTCAACATATACTCTTAGTGCTAACAGATCACACACAATCTTATCTAATGCTTTAGCACCATGACGTCGGGCGACGTGCATTCCTTCACCGATTTTGTGTATTTTTGTGTATTTGCAGACTGCTGTGTTCTGATTGTCAGTTTAGGACTGCATGATGACAAAAGAGAAATGAAAAGTTACTTCTAATTACTTTTAAAGTACACTGCAGTATAAAACAGATCTTTGTTAAAGTCATTAAAAAATAATAACCACCTGTTTGGTCAACCTGCGGAGCTGCTCTGTTAATCTGCTGCTCATCTCATCAAACTTCCTGAACGCCTGAAAGAAAACAAAATAATAATTATTAATTATTATACAAGCACAGTGTAAGAGATGAAGAAAAAACCCTGGACTAAGAAGTTGTTTTACTCTCAGTTTGTCAGATCTCTACGCTGCTAAGTGTATTAAACAACAGAAGGATTAAACACTGTACCTCCTCTGGAGCCGTCTGGCACGTCAGCAGGGCATCCAGAAACTCGTACACGTACTGCAACAGCAACAGAACCGTGAACCTTCATCCTGGGAATGAAGTTGTGTAAGCGCTGGAGGACTCACCGGGGACAGGAACTTGATGGTCAGATGAGCGTTTTCTGCCAACACATCAGCTGCCAGGTCAAAGTACTGTGAAGGAGCCCAGCAGAAACGTTAATCCAGTTTTAGTGAACCGTTCTGAAGCTTCTTCAGCACATTGAATGTTTTTGTGCTGTTGGTGTGATCCTCAGCCTGGTTTGGTACCTCATGTTTGCTGTAGAGCAGCAGCAGGTTACCAAAGGTGACCCGGGGGAAGGAGGGCAGCTGCAGGAGGAACGCCAGCTTCTCAAACCCTTCTGAAGGCTTCATGTCGATGTTCATTAGAGCCTGGTTGTGCAGAGTCACGGCGTCCAGCTCCTGAGCTCAGAAACAATCAGAGCATCACGCTCACAGGTCAGCTGTGTTCTGTTGGACCTCAGCTTCACTCATCAAATACACAAGTTCACCGAAAAACTTTTATCTTCTAAACTCAGAGTGCATTCACATTAAATACCGCCAGGGGGCAGTAGAGGATCCTGAGAGGGTATTTTGAGATTTTATTCCAATCTTAATCTGAGTAGTCTGGGGGAGGGAGAGGTCTAAACAACATCAGAATAAAACCACAGCAGCTGACTTAAATGAGCTCAGGCTCCCTCGTGGTTTCAGCTGAACATCTGTCAGCTGCTGTGATCTTCAGCCTCAGGGAGCGAGAGTCTGACGGACTTACCTCCTCTGACCTCGGGGGCATGTCTGTCAGGGCCTCCTGAGCTCCTTTCACTGCAGAATCATCATGAAACCAGAACACAGAGGAGAGCAGAGCATGTAAACTCTAAAACAAACTCCTTCATCACAACCACAAACCAAACCATGATGAACCAACAAAGACAACTTGTCTGAGTGAAGTGCATCCTGTTGACAACACGTCTGCTCGTCTGAACGTGTTTTAACAGTAGGATCGTCACTCAACGAGTTTATAACGAGGCCTTTTCTACGTCGGACACTACAGATGATGACCACTGAACCTTGTTCTTCTCCGTGTCGAAACTACAGCCTGCTCCTGGATCTGGTTCTGAACTGGACTGTCAGACCTCCTCCGATTGTTCTCAAATTAAAACTTGGCTCTGAGAAAGTGTTGCTGGGTTAATCCAGGCAGCCGCTACCTGACATACAAACAGCTGGTTTTATTCCAGAGTTTTCACATGATTTCTGTTATTTTCATGTTTGAGACAGAATATTTTGACCCAACAGGCTGACCTCACATAAACCTGTTGTTGTTGTTGACTGGAACTCAAGAGTAACACCTAACGAGGCTGAAGAGTTGCTCAAAGGATAAAATGATACTGTGTCTACATGCTTGTTATTTTAGAATATGAAAAAAGATTCTGAACATATGGAACTTTGTTGTTGACTTTCTGCATACTTTGTTTATGACCACACCCTGAAACACCCCGAACACACCCAGCCTCGTCTGAGCGGGAAGCTAAGCAGGGTTGGGCCTGGTTGACCGCCTGGGACGTGGGAACACCAGCTGCTATAAACTTAACAGAGGACGAGATGGTGTAGAGGTAGGGTACCTAACTTGGGACCAGAAAGTCACAGGTTCAACTCCCCGCCATACCAACATATCATGGCGTCCTTGCGCAAGACGCCTAAACCCCAACTGCTCCCCGGGCGCTTACATAGCTGCCCGCTGCTCCACCTGGGTGTAACTCAGGTGTGATGGGTCAAATGCAGAGAACTAATTTCATCAGTGAAACATATGATGATGACAACACACAGCACTTTCTTAACTTTACTTTGGAAGACCTTTCATTTTGATAAAGTTTAATGTCTATTTTTTTAAAAGAAAAAACAAGAAAAAAGCATATTTTCCACAGTTTACTCGCTGGATGAACTGACATCCAGGGAGTAAACTGTGGGAAGATTTTTTTTTTTTTTTTTGATAAGTCGAAGACCACAAGGAGGGAAACGCGTCAGAAGACAGAGGGAGAAGAAGAAAGTCACGAATGTATGACTAAGGGTTGCAGCTCTAAATGTGGGCACAATGACAGGCAAAGGTAGAGAGCTGGCTGACATGATGCAGAGAAGGAAGGTAGAAGTTTTATATGTCCAAGAGACCAAGTGGAAGGGCAGCAAGGCTCACAGCATTGGAGCAGGGTTCAGGTGTTGATAGAAAGAGAAATGGAGTAGGGGTGGTCCTGAAGGAGGAGTTGGCAAAGAATGTAGTAGAGGTGAAAATAGTATCAGATAGGGTGATGTGTCTGAAGGTAGAAGTAAAAGGTCTGATGCTAAACATTGTCAGTGATTATGCTCCACAGGTTGGATGTGATGTGGAGGAAAAAGATACATTTCAGAAAGATCTGGATGAAGTGATAGAGAGTATTCCCAGGGAGGAGGGAGTGGTGATCGGAGCAGACCTGAATGGACATGTTGGTGAAGGAAACAGAGAGGATGAGGAAGTGATGGGTAGGTTTGGTGTCAAGGAAAAAAACCAGGAAGGACAGATGGTGGTGGATTTCACCAAGAGAATGGAAATGTCTATAGTCAACACCTACTATATTTCCAAAAGAGGGAGGAACATAGAGTGACCTGTAAGAGTGGAGGAAGGAGTACGCAGGTCGACTACATTCTGTGTAGAAGAGGAAACCTGAGGGAGATTGGAGACTGTAAGGTTGTTGCAGAGGAGAGCGTGGCCCTTCCTGACACAACCCTCACCATTTATCCAGGCTTGAGACCAGAACCATAGATACACTGCTGGTGCTCCCTAATGGCTGGTTTAAATAAAATAAAATGGTATTATTATTGTTTAGATTTTTTTTATACCATTTTCAAATGAAAGAAAATGGTATTAAAATAGGAAACAAAACCAGCTATGTAGGTGATCTATAAAGTACAGCACACAAAACCGGTTTGAAGCGGCCCAGCTCAAAACAGAGCAGTTCACAATTCGAATAATTAGTTGCATCATGGAGCTATCAGCTGTTCAAATGATTCTTAAAAACAATCAGTAATCCTCCACCATGAGCAGTTGTCCTTGGAGCGTTGAAAAAAAGAGCAATCCAGAGGCAATAATTCCAGAAAAACACTGAACTCACCAGGGCAGACCTAAGACTCGGTGAGGAAAAGAAAATCCAGTCCGTTGGAGCAGAAAAAGCCATTTAAAATAAAAGTTTTATTAGCCAGAGATCTGGCATTTATCAGGGCCATCCTCGTGGAATCCAATGCAGGAGAAGATGACAGAGGTGTCCAGTCCAGCGGTCTCAAATTTACAGTTAGACCTGCGCCTCAGGTCGGAAACACAGCCGTGCACAGGCCCACTGTGAGGATCAGACCCTGCCAACGAGACCAGACAGCGCGCCACAGGATCAGCACAGCGCCAAGATGGGCGATGGAAACGTTGACCATCATTCAGCTGGAGAGGTTGATGCAGAGAGAGCAAGAAGGGCTTTAAGCTTCAGCCAGCCAGCGTGTTTTCCCCGGCGTCTGGAGCGTTATCTCCATGCAAGCAGGTGTGATGCGCCGCAGGTAAACAGGCACGTCCATCAGCAGAGGGGGGCGAGGGGAGGTCCAGAGCTCCACTCATATTGGTCAAAATAAGCGACGGTGGCACAAAGTCGAACATCCAGAAGCTGTTGTCGTTCATACACCAGCAGAGAGTTGATGTCACAAATGAGAAACAAAAAATCAGAAATAATACGAACACCGTCAGCAGAGATGGACTGCAAGTCATGTACACAGGCGCCATCTTCCCACAAGAACAGTTAGAGAGGACATGGAGGAAGTTGGAGTGAGGACAGAGGATCACTCTCTGTGGTGACCCCTGAAGAGGGAACAGCTGAAAGAAGAACACTGTCTGGATGTCAAGTTCATGTGTCTCAGATATAAACAGCTGTTCTTTCAGTCTGAGCAACATTTCTACTGAGTAGCCAGTGTTTGACGTTCTGTGAACCTGCTCTACTGTTCTACCATCTGACGTGTCTAAACGATGCAGAATACTGGACTTTCAAAGGAAACCCGTCCTGCAGGTGGTTCAGTACCGACCTCCAAGGTCATTGAAGGTAGACATATTTTCACCTTCGGGCTGTTAAACAGTTCTCTTGACTTTTGGCCTCAGAAGGAGGTTCTTATTGTTCTACAGCTGGTATTTAAATTCACACAGCGGTTCTTACGGTTCTTCAACTGGTATTCAATGGCTGCTTTCAGGTTGAAGGCTTCGATCAGAGCCGTCTCGTGAAGAACCAGCGTGTTGCCCACGCTGTGCACGTCGATGCCTTCAGTTTTCAAGCCGATGCTCAGCTCTGACACAAACAGAACACAGAGATGAAGTAAGGATGAATGTGAGGTGCATAGATGGGCACAGCTCCAGAGAGCTTCCACCTGGATGTTCTCTGATTCCTCGCTCGATGATCTCTGTGATGTGGTTCAGGGCCTGGGGGTAGTTCTTCAGGCTGTAGAAGCTCAGGGCAATGTTGTAGGACAACGCTGTCAGAAAAACAAGCAGAAGAACGAGGACAGATGAGTAATCTGAAGATTTTTACTGAATTTCTTCTTTTACTTGATGACATCATCTCATGATATAATCTCTGCCCATCAGCTGCTGACACTGACATTAATCAAAGCATAAAACTTTTCAGGAGGGAAGAAGCTTTACGGCCTAAATGTGTCCAATTATTTAAATTTTCATGTTCCTAGAACAACTGGTCGAGGCGGAGGTGTAGCCTCTATTTTTCAGTCAGAACTATTAATTAATACTAAACCAATTAGTAGTTATAATACTTTTGAGTCACTGTCTCGAAGTCTATCCCATCCTAAATGGATAACAGAACGGCCACTCTCACTAGTTGTTATTTATCGTCCACCAGGCTCCTATGCTCAGTTCTTGTCGGAATTATCAGAATCCTGAACTGACTTAGTACTAAATACTGATAAAGTCATAATAATGGGTGACTTCAATATTCATGTAGATGTTGAAAGTGATAGCTCAAGCATAGCCTTTTTTAGCTGCTCTTACTGATTTGGAGAAGGACTCATTTAGGGAGGAGTGGTGGAGCAGAGGCTAGAGAGGTTGGCCTGTGATCGGAAAATCATCGGTTCACGCCCCGGTACCGACAACATTAAAAATGTGGGTGGGGTAGGTGAAGCACCCACACTTGCCCCCACCCTCATTCGCCCCACTCTGGGCCCATGAGCAAGGCCCTTAACCCCATCTGCTCCCTAAACAGGTCTCTCTTGAAAATGAGTTCTCGTGGCTCAATGAGACTACCTGTATAAATAAATGAGAGAGTTAACTTTTTTTTTGTTTTTGTTGAGGATGTTCTGTAACTTCTGTGTGCTGTTGCCAGTCTTGGCCAGGATTCTCTTGCAAAAGAGATTTTTAATCTCAATGGGATTTTCCTGGTGAAATAGAGGTTAAATAAAATAAATAAATAAAATAGCCTTTAAAAATTTAAGAGTCAATTGGTTACAACCAAAACTTCCGAACACCTACTCATTCTCATCATCACACCCTTGACCTGGTTCTGATTGAAGAGTTTTCATTTGATACTAATTCTATCTTAACATGTGATTCTTGACCTGCCATTGTGTATCTGTTCCTTCTAAACCCAGCCGGTCGAAGCAGATGACCGCTTGTCCTGAGCCTGGTTCTAAAGGTTTATTTCTCATGAGGGAGTTTTTCCTTTCCACTGTCGCCTTTATGCTTGCTCAAGATAAGAGTTCTGTGATGGAGTTAAATTCAAAGCAGTCTGCTCCTCAGATAAATAGTGCTAAATTATCACACACACACACATATATATTTATATATATATATTTATAAATTTATATATACATATACATATATACATATTCATGACCCACATCAAGAACTCCGTCGACGTCACTGTGGACCCACATCAGTACGCCTACAGAAGGAACTGCTCCACTGCTGATGCCCTCTCATTGGTGGTCCACACAGCCCTCACCCACCTGGAAAGCAAAAATTCTTCCATCCGTCTGCTCTGTCTGGATTTCTCCTCGGCCTTCAACACCATCATCCCACCGACCCTGGTGCAGAAGCTCTCCTTTCTTGGACTGAGTCCCACACTGGGGAACTGGATTGAGGACTTCCTGACGAACAGACCTCAGACTGTCAGGATCCACAATATCGTCTCCTCCTCCATGACCCTTAGTATGGGCTCGCCCCAGAGCAGCGTTCTGAGCCCCCTCCTGTTCACTCTGCTGACATATGACTGCTCAGCTATACACCCCAGCTGCCATATAGTGAAGTTAATGGATGACACAGCAGTAGTGGGACGCATCACGAACAATGATGAGTCCAAATACAGAGAGGAGGTGGAACACCTGGTGCAGAGGCAATAATCTCTGCATCAGTGTGAAGAAGACCAAGGAGATGGTGGTGGATTTCAGAAGAGACAAGGGTCCTCTTCATCCCCAACACATCGGAGGAGCAGTGGTGGAGGTGGTCTCCTTCTACAGGTACCTGGGGTTGCATATATCCAGTGACCTCACCTGGAGAGTTAACACTTCCTGTCTGGTCTAGATGTCCTATCAGCGTCTCTACTTCCTCAAGAAGCTGTGGAGAGCTAGACTTGGGAGCGTTCTCTGCACCTGCATCACCGTGTGGTACGGCAGCTGCACTGCTGCTGAGAGGATGGCTCTGCAGAGGGTGGTTAAGGCTGCACAGAAGACTGTGGGGAACAGCCTTTCCACCACTTTGGACCTCTACACATCACAATGCAGGGGGAGGGCGCTCCGCATCATGAAGGACTCCACTCATCCTGCACACAGTCTGTTCCAGCCCCTTCCCTCAAGCAGGCAGCTGAGAAACATTCATAGCAAGACCACCAGGCTCAGAAACAGTTTTCCCCTGCAGCTGACAGACTACTGAACTCGAGCTGCACTTAATTCAACTTCATCTTACTTTTTTTACTTTATTTATTATATATATTTATATTTATACTATTTTGTATTTATTTATTTGTTAATTGGTAGGCTTCTTGATCTTGGACCTGAGTCCGAATTTCGTACAATAAACATGCAAATGTGAGCTGGTAGGACAATAAAAATCCTTGAATCCTTGACTTTAGGAGAGAGGGATTACAGAGACCAAGCAGACCTCATTAACATTCTCAGTTTTAAAATAAAAGGTGGGTTTTTTTGCTGATGAAAGCATCAACCCAGAAAAATGAGGACACTAAAGAGCTGATGCTGACTGATCGACAGCATCTTTATGGATCAAACTTCATGTTAATTTGCAAACAGTGGTTCCTGAAAGTCTCTTTGCGTGAGCCTGATTACCTGGCAGGTAGCCCAGCACCTGCATGGCAGTCATAAAGTTCCTGCAGGCCTCCTCATGCTTGCCATCTTGATGAAGCAAGCAGCCCATGTTGAACATGTAGTCCGGATCGTCCTGAGGCAGCTGCTCCAACAGTAACTGTAAGGACACACAGAATCGGACCCGGTCAGCTGACAGAACAAATGATGAGATAATTTGTAAATGAAGACAGCTCATCACCTTGGCAGCAGAATAATCTTCCTCGCAGTATTTGATGCAGGCTTGCAGCTTCAGCATCTGATATAAAAACACAACAAATGACAGATACTTGGAGTCAGTATGTGAAATACAGCTGCAGGAGGTGTGATGGTTTGGAGAAGCCTTCCAGCTACGTGTGAGTCCAGCGCTGATGGTCCGGTACCTTGATGTGAGTGTTGGGGTTGTCCAGTGCAAACGAGGCCTTGGTGGCTTCAGGATAAGCTCCAGCTCTGTACAGCGACTGGGCGTAGTACAGTTTGTACTCCTCCACCTCCGGGTGCAGTTGGGTGAGCTGCTCGTAACACTCGGCAGCATTGCTGAAGTCCTGGATGTGGAAGTAGCAGAAACCCAGCAGAGACAGCGCTGCCCTGGACTGAGACAGTAAGACGTACCGGTGATGATTCATCATTATTCAACAAATTATTCTGCAGTCAGCAGTGTTCAAACAGCTGAAGATGCAGAAAAAATACAAAATAACAAAAACAGAAGAAAAGTTTAGAGTGTTTTTAAAATCCATGTAGCATTCCAACAAGAACGCAGCTGCCACCGTTTGTTTTTGGAGAGAAAAACATGTAGAATATTTTTTAAACTCTCGGATTCCTGTTGGCTTCATTAACAGACTAACACCAGAATTCATTTTTCATGCCAGAGCTTGGATCAAAGATAAATGTTTGCAGATGTTCCTTGTTGTCTGTCTTTGTTTCAGCCTTTCTTTATGTTTGGACCTCAATTTATTTTGAATATTCAAGCAGTAGGAAGCCAGGACAGGTGCACAGCATGTTTTCTGTTGGTACTTTGGAAGAAAAAATGACAATTTAAAAAACATTAAGGTCTTTCTGTTGGCAGTGAACCATAGAAACAGAAAAAAAATTAGGCGTCTTTTAAGAGACTTAAATAAATGACACATTTTTCTGACTAAACACAAGTAGGTTTGCATCATTATCATCAAGTTGAAATCAGTGACGGTCTCAGACACTAAAACCAGTTCATAGACCTGATTCAGGTGTCATGTCTTACTTTAAGACAGGGGGGTAGATAGACAAAACTTTTTCTGTAATTTACTCATGCCCCAGGATAAATTTAATAGTTGGCCCGCATCCAAGGCCAAACGGGGAGTCAAATTCAAATAAGCCACTTCCTGACATTGCACGTTCGTGGTGAGATGTATTGTGTCACTTCCTGTTTGTCTGCCGGTAGCTCGAGTGATTTGTTTGCTCGAGTCATCTTTTGTTTTCCAGATTATCTGTCTTTTGCACAGTTTTTCATTCTAGTTCACAAACACCCTTAGTACAGTTGTTTTTCTACTGTTGGATGGTGCTTAAAACACCTTTCATCTTTCAACACTTCTCGGTTTTTATTGATGTTTTGAGATCTGCTAGCTCTTGCTGGTGTTGGCTTAGCATGGCTGCTGCTTCTCTCCCGATTTTCACTTGCTCTGTGTGTCAGATGTTTAATTACTCCTCTGCCTCCTTTAGTGGTAATGATACATGTGACAAATGTAGTCTTATGGTAGCTTTGGAGGAGAGGCTGTCTGAACTGGAAACTCGGCTCCGCGCTGTAGAAAAGCCAGTAGCTAGCCAGGTCCCCTTAGACAGCGCGTAACCACAGAGACTAGCTCCTGTTAGCGGTCCTCCAGCAGACCCCGAGCAGACGGGACACCAGGCCTGCTGGGTGATGGTCCGGAGCAAGCATAGTACTAAGGCTAAGCCCCCAGTTCACCACCGACCCATTCACGTTTCTAATCGATTTTCCTCGCTCAGTGACACACCCGCTGAGAAGCAGACCCTGGTTATTGGCAGTTCCATAGTCTAAAACGTGGCTTTAGGGATGCCAGCGGCCATAGCTAAATGCATTCTGGGGGTCAGAGCGGGCGACATAGAATCTTATTTGAAACTGCTGACTAAGGCTAAGGCTAAATACAGTGAGATTGTTATTCACATCGGCAGTAATGACACCCGGTTACGCCGAATGGAGGTCACTAAAATTAATGTTGCTTCGGTGTGTGACTTTGTTAAAACCATGTTGGACTCTGTAGTTTTCTCTGGCCCCCTCCCCAACCTGACCAGCGATGACACGTTTAGCCGTATGTCGTCGTTCAACCGCTGGGTGTCCAGGTGGTGTTCTGACAACAACGTGGGCTACAGATAACTGGAGTTCTTTCTGGGGTAAAACCTGGTCTGATGAGGAGAGATGGCATCCATCCCACTTTGGACGGAGCCGCTCTTCTTTCTTCTCCAGGACTCTGTCGTTTTGTTGAAAAGATTTTGACTGCGTTGAAAATCCAGATCACCAGATTCACAATAGTATTTTTTCGTTCAGAAGATGTGTTCCAGGAGCTCCGAGACACACACAGAGAGCAAAAGCAGGAGGAAGAGAACAGAGGAGGGAGAGGAGAAGGCGTCTGCCTTGAACGAGAGCAAGAGCAGAAAAAAATTAAATAAATAATAATAATAATAAGCAACAAAGAACCAGGATTGACCTTTATACTACATCAACCTGTGAACTTGAACCCTGAGCAGGGACTCTAATGGGTCCTGTGTGGACGGTTTCCAGTTTCTCATTTACCTTTGTGTGTTTCTACAGTTTCTCATTTATCTTTGTGTATTTTGGCAGTTTCTCATTTATCTTTGTGTGTTTCTACAGTTTCTCATTTATCTTTGTGCATTTATGAAGTTTCTCATTTATCATTGTGTTTCTACAGTTTCTCATTTGCCATTGTGTGTTTCAACAACTTCTCATTTATCATTGTGTTTCAACAGTTTCTCCTTTACCATTGTGTGTTTTGACGGTTTCTCATTTATATTTGTGTTTCCACAATTTCTCATTTATCACTGTCTGTTTCAACAGTTTCCCATTTATCATTGTGTTTAGACAGTTTCTCATTTGTCATTGTCTGTTTCAACAGTTTCTCATTTATCATTGTGTGTGTCGACAGATTTTCATTTGGGATGGTGATCCTGAGGCGGTTGGTGGACACGGCGAGACCAGACTTCTCCAATATTCGAGAGGTGGTTTCGTTGCTTGGGGTCCGTTCTGCCAGAGTGGTGCAGCGCTTTCTGGAGCTGGTGAAAGAGAGGATGACAGCTGGACAGAACTGTCTCCTGCAGCTGTGGTCCATGGGGAATCGCTCGCCTGACCTAATGGACCCTTTCCTGAACATCCACCTGGATCCTAACTTTGCGAAAGATAGTGGTCCTCTGCTACGCAACACAGTTCCAAAGATGGGCTTGTGCAGAACAGGTCCAAAAGTACTTTACAAGACTTATGTTAAGATCCTGAACAAGCGAACTCTGCACAGCAGAGCTGCCAGTGTGTGGGACGACAAGCGGACTGGCAATCTTCAATGGAGGATCCTTCATGGCGCGATTGCAACAAACTCTTTTTTTGTCAGTCATCAAACCTTGAGGTTTTAAACGAGTGTCCTTTTTGCAGTTTGTCCGAGTGTTTTTCATGTTTTTACAGATTGTGTATGGCTGACGACTCTGTTTAATCTAATGATGAGGATATTTAGCCTTTTTGACACAATTTTCACCAAATCTGTTTTTATAAACGGAGTACATTACAGCAAAGCCACCAACTTTAAATCCCAAACTTTAAACTGTTTAGTGGCTGAAGAAAAAATGTCTGTTTACTTGTCTCAAAGGGACAGACTGCAGGCTGGACCCCAACTTGATGCCGTGGCTCCGTGGAAGTGCAACGTCAAGGCCAGACTGGCGTTGGAGTTTTGCTTCCACAGAGCCACTGGACACTTGGAGAATTTTGTGAAACTGTGGGAATTTAAGAAGGTTTTATGCACCATTTCTGATCAGGGACAACTACAATACAACAAGCTCCTCGTGTAAATATTTTATTTTAAGCTTGTCCTGTTCACCTTTTTTTTAACACTGCTATGTTAACTTATTGTGTAAAGTTTTATTAAATAAAATGAATAAAAATAAAATTCATTTATCATTGTGTGTTTCAACAGTTTCTCATTTATCTTTGTATGTTTCCACAGTTTCTCATTTACCTTTGTGTGTTTCTGAAGCTGGCCGTTCAGGATGTGAATAGCTTCAACATATTTTCTATCTTTAATCTGTAAAACAAATGGAAAAAAAGCTTCAAATTAAATTTAAATTAAATCTTCAAAATTTCATGTCCATCTGAAAATATGTTACTAAAAATATATTAAATCCATGGTATACAAAACAACACTTTACATCGAATGAAACAACTTTTTTATTAAACATTGTCCCATTGTCTCAATTGTCCCCCTCTTACAATGATGTGATTGCTAGTATCACTCAGCCCTCTATGAATAGTAAACCGCCATCAGTGTGCTAATGATCCATTGTTAGGCTGATGGTCCTTCTTGATCATGTGAGCAGCTGGTTTTGGTTGTCAGCAGCAAAACTGGTTGATCCATTCTGAGAAGGAGTTATTTAAGAGACTGAGCTGAATACAGCACCTCAGACTGAGGAAGTCTCTCGGATGAGAGACGAAACGTTTCTACATTTTTTGTTGTTTTGCTTTGTTTTTTTTTGTTGTTTATTTTGAATGTCCAGAGGACCAGATTTAACTTTTTTAGAGATCATTGTGAACTTTGGTTTATTTACATAATGATTTTAATCACTGGATGTCCGGCCCCTGAGCTGCTGGCTTTTAGAAACTGCGGCCCCCTGAGCAGTTTTGTTAAATAGCCCTGATCTAGAGTGACATAAGTGGAGGAAGGGTCGACTACATTCTGTGTAGAAGAGGAAACCTGAGGGAGATTGGAGACTGTAAGGTTGTGGCAGGGGAGAGTGTGGCCAGACAGCATCAGATGGTTGTGTGTAGAATGACTTTTCCCCAAAAGAAGAAGAGAAAAAGAGTCAAATCAGAGAAAAAGACCAAATGGTGGAAGATGAAGAAGGAAGAATGTTGTGAGAAATTCAGAGAAGAGCTGTTGATGGCTCTGGGTAAGAAAGAGCTTCCAGATGACTGGACTACTACAGCAACAGTAATTAGGTAGGAAGGACAGGTAGGAAGGTACTTGGTGTGTCATCAGGACAGAGAATGGATGATAAAGAAAGCTGGTGGTGGAATAGTGAAGTGCAGGAAGCTGTTCAAAGAAAGAGGTTAGCCAAGAAAAAATATGACAGAGGACTGAAGAGAGGGGACAGGAATATAAGGAGATGGGACGTAAAGCAAAGAAGGAGGAAGCTAAGGCAAAGCAGACACGTATGATGAGTTATATAGGAGGCTGGATGCTAAAGAGGGTGAGAAGGACTTGTACCAATTGGCAAGACAGAGGGATCAGGCTGGAAAGGATGTGCAGCAGTTGAGGCTTGTTAAAGACAGGAATTGTAATGTTCTAACAAGTGAGGAGAGTGTGACAGGAAGATGGAAGGAGTACTTTGAGGAGCTAATGAATGAAGAGAATGAAAGAGAAAGAAAAGTAGAGGTCATAGAAACTGTGGACCAGGAAGTGGGAAAGATTAGTGAGGGTGAAGTCCAGAAAGCTCTGAAAAGAATGAAGATGGGGAGGCAGTAGAACCTGATGACATACCAGTGGAGGTTTGTAAATGTCTTGGAGAGATGGCAGTGAGGTTTTTGACTCAAATATTGAATGGCATATTTGAGGGTGAGAAAATGCCTGAGGAATGGAGAACATGGCTGGTGCCCATTTTTAAGAACAAGGGTGATGATGTACAGAGTTGTAACAACTACAGGGGAATTAAGTTGATGAGCCACAAGATGAAGATCTGGGAGAGAGTTGTGGAAGCAAGACTTAGACAAGAGGTGACTATTTGTGAGCAGCAGTATGGTTTCATGCCAAGAAAGAGCACCACAGTCGCCATCTTTGCTTTGACGATGCTGATGGAGAAGTACAGAGAGGGTCAGAAAGAACTCCATTGTGTCTTTGTGGATTTAGAAAAATCATATGACAGGGTGCCAATGGAGGAGGTGTGGTATTGTATGAGGAAATCTGGAGTGGCAGAGAAGTACATTAGACTGGTACAGGACATGTATGAGGACAGCAGGACAGTGGTGAGATGTGCTGTAGGAGTGACAGATAACTTCAAGGTGGAGGTGGGAGTGCATCAAGGATCAGCTCTGATCCCCTTCTTGTTTGCTCTGGTGATGAACCGACTAAAAGATGAGGTCAGATAGGAATCCCCATGTTTGCAGATGACATTGTGATCGGTGGTGAGAACAGGGAACAGGTGGAAGAGAACTTGGAAAAGTGGAGGTATGCACTTGAAAAAAGAGGAATGAAAGTCAGCCGTAGTAAGACAGAGTTCATGTGTGTGAATGAGAGGGAGGTCGGTGGAACAATGAGGCTACAAGGAGCAGAGGTCACAAAGGTGGAAGACTTCAAAGACTTGGGGTCCACTGTCCAGGAAAATGGGGAGTGTGATAAAGATGTAAAGAATAGAGTCCAGACAGGATGGAGTGGATGAAGAAAAGTTTCTGGAGAGGTTTATGACAAAAGTCTGTCAGCAAAGGTCAAAGGAAAGTTTACAAGGCAGTGGTGAGACCAGCTCTGGAGACATAGACATGGACAAAACGACAGGAGACAGAACTGGAAGTGGCAGAAATGAAGATGTTGAGGTGAGATGTTAGGAGTGACAAGGATGGATAAGATTAGGAATGAGATCATCAGAGGTACAGCACAGGTTGAACAACTGGGAGATAAAGTTAGAGAGGACACACTGAGATGGTTTGGACATGTCCAGAGGAGGGACCATAGTTTGGACATGTCCAGAGGAGGGACCGTGGTTTGGACATGGCCAGAGGAGGGACAGTGGTTTGGACATGTCCAGAGGAGGAACCGTGGTTTGGACATGTCCAGAGGAGGGACCGTGGTTTGGACATGTCCAGAGGAGGGACAGTGGTTTGGACATGTCCAGAGGAGGGACCGTGGTTTGAACATGTCCAGAGGAGGAACCGTGGTTTGGACATGTCCAGAGGAGGGACCGTGGTTTGGACATGTCCAGAGGAGGGACAGTGTATATTAGGGTGTTAGAAATGCAGCTGCCAGGAAAAAGACCAAGAGGAGGGATGGATGTAGTTAGAGAGGACATGGAGGTAGTTGGAGTGAGGACAGAGGACACAGAGGACAGAGTGAGATGGAGGAGGATGACTCGCTGTGGAGACCCCTGAAAAGGGAAAAGACGAAAGAAGAAGAAGAAGGTGTAGTCGCTGCTATCTGCTAGCTTCGAAGCTAAGCGGAACTAAACATGCAATTCTTCCCACCTGATTGTAGATTGTAGCCGTGTATTCTCCGTCGTTAATCGCTGTCATGCCTTTAACCGCAGCTTGACAATACAAACCCGTAGTAATTTCACGTATTTTCCAACTTTCTGGCGTTTAGTTAGCTACTCGTGCGTAAACCGGAAAAGCGCGTAGTAAATGTTACTTAGCAACGCATAACTAGAAATGGGACAACTGACTGACGTATAAATGAGCCAATCAGCTAAGAGCCTTTCGGTACAACATTTTCCTCCGAGCTTCCTCCACACCCACGTAGACGTCGCCGCCATATTGGATGTGGCAAAAGTGAAGCGATAGAAGAAGATGCAACATTCATTCAGCGTGACAGCACCTCAGACTGAGGAAGTCTTTCGGATGAAAGACGAAACATTTCTACATTTTTTTTGCTTTGTTTTGCTTTTTGAATGTCCAGAGGACCAGATTTCACTTTTTTAGACTGCAGGTAATAATGTCCTGAGAGCGCATGCTGTAGCTGCACTCACGCAGTGACATGTAGGAGGAACTATTTAAAGGCAACAGACCAAGAAGTGATTTAAAGATAAAAATGTACCAGTGAGTGAGTCTATTTGAAGTTAATGATGTCCAGTTAACCAGTGAATACAGGGTGCAATGATGGATATGGTAGTTACAGCCAGTTATGAATATTAGTGCACCATGATAAGAAACATCCAACTTCTGCAGGGTGCTTGTAGGAGCGTTCATGTCAATAATGTCACCGTAGTTAATGGAGGGAAAGAAAGTCACAGTTACAAGGCGTTTCCTAGCATTCAGAGTTAGACAGGATCTATGTCTGAAAAATAAACCCAGTTTAACTTTCAGTTTATGAATCAACCAAGATACCCAAGTATTTGTAGGAATTGACAAATTCAATAGGGACACCATTCGAGGATAAAATCAAAGGAAGAACTGCTGGGACCGACTTCCTGTTTGAAAACAGCATCCCTTTGGGTTTATCTGTGTCTAGGACAAGTTTGAGATGGAGCAAGTCTGTCTGAATGATGTCAAAAGTGAATTGCAAAACCTGGAAAACCTCAACAACTGTTTTAGCTCAACAATAAACAATTGTGTCATCAGCATAGAAATGTAAGGATGCATCAGGGATGCTTTAACCTACATTACCTTTATAGATTGTGAAGAGGGTGGGTCCTAAGATTGAGCCTTGTGGTACACCATTGTTGACTGTTAAATAACTGGAGCAAGTACCATTATGTTGAACACATTGCCTCAGATCTGAATGATGGCGACTGAACTAGGCCAAAGGGCCTTCTTCTACTCCGCTCCTGTTTCCTGGAATATCTTGCAAAAAGATCTGAAGCTCTCGACCATGACCTCTCTAAGTGGCTTCAAACATCTGCTAAGTTCATGGCAATGTAGCAGTTTTCGTTTCGTTTTTCAATATAATTTCTTCTATTTACTTTTCATTTTATATGTTTTATATGATTGTCTATTGTTGTCTGTGCCTCATCTGCGTTCTTTGTTTAAATCAGGCCTCTCTTGTAAATGAGTCATCGAGGCTCAATGAGAATCTACCTGTAGAAATAAATGTTGAATTGAATCGTTTACAGCAGTGCTGTTGCAGTTCTCTGTCTGACCTGCAGGTGTCGCCAAACAGGAAGATAACAGCTGCACAGCTGGAAGTGCAGAAGAAGAAGAGCTGGAAGAAAAGAGCGGGAATCTGTTCAGACAAAATGTAACTAACCTTTCTGTCGTTTTTATAGTAGAACAACCCTGCTGCTGACTCCATCATGAAACTGATCAGCTTGTATTTGTTCTTAGTAAACTGATTTACCAACCTGGGACTAACCTGTATGGAAAAAAAAAAACAATCACAAAACTCATAGGTTCAACTGATTCAGTTCATTGTGCACATACATGAATCAATTTTCACTTCCCTAACTATTACTCTAAAATTAAAACAAAATCTGAGCAATAAATATATTTTGTCCATATTTATCTGGTTTATGGGCACACTTTTAAATGTTTTCATTCATTTTCACGTTTAAACTTCCTGTTGAATAACTTATGGCTAACTCTTTTAGCCAGCACCAAAGGGTGCTGCGTCAGTATCTTACCTGTCACAGACCGCAGTCTGAGTCTGGGATAAGTTTTATGGGAGTAGTCCTGCTATAAGGTACTCTGTTCAGACCGGGACCAGTTTAGACTGATCCATTCAGACAGGGACCAGTTCCAGATGATGTTAAATTTACACTCTAAAAAAATCAGACAAAAAAAAAAGACTTAGAAGGTTTGAAGAACTGTTGATCAGGACAACTTTAACAGATCACACTTTACATTTCAAAAAATACACATAAATCACGATCATCTTTGTTTTATAAGCTCTACGAAATGACATAATTTGTTTTGTCTGTACTAAAGTCCTTTCAATGAACATTAAGGAATTGTACTTTATTGTTCCACTTTTCTTACTGTGGAGGTCCTTATCTTCACCCCATGGCCCTCGCTCCACCTCAGGCCAGTGGGACCCTCACTTCATCCCTGGCCCTCCCTCCACCTCAGGTTTCCTTTACTTGAGCCCAGGTGCCCCTGGCTCCACCCCTGGTCCTGGATCCACCACAAGTGGCCCTCACTCTGCCCCTTTCCCTCGCTCCACCCCAGGTGGCCTATTTAAAGAGCGAGGAGGAGGAGTGACATCATCTTCAGCATCCTATCATCACCTGAACTGTTGGCTCATTTCTCTGGAGGTCAGCCTGCAGCGAGGACTGAAGACCTGAGCAGTGAGTACCGGCTTTTACACTTTCTCTGAAAAGTCTTGTGTCTGAGCGTTCAGCTGAATCCACCTGCTGAATTAGTCAGAGTCTCGTTAGGTGAGCTGGATGACAGACAAGTCGTTTATGAAGACAACACACTCAGAGCAACAACGTTTTGTTCAAATGACTTTTGAAACAGTAAAGTTTTGTTTCCTGTCAGTGGAACTAGCCAGGCTAGAGTTTTGGCTTTCTGCCACCAAACATCTTGAGATCTTCAAAGACCCTGATTGAAGATGCTGCAGATTGATCCCCGGCTGCAGCCACACATGGATGCATCCTCTGACATGTTTTGGTGTAAACGCTGAGCTTGGCTGGACACGCGAGCTGCTGCACCTTATAAGGTGAAAATCAGCTAAAACCTTAGCATCCTCTGTGGACTGCCGGGCTCCCAGCAGCCGAGGGGTTAGCCAAACATGGGCATTCCAGCATGGCAGCTTTGCTGTTTGATTACAGCACTTATCTGTGTGCTGCTTTTCATGTTTTACTGCCTGCTGTTCAATAAGCAGGTCTGTGTGCCGCACCAGGACCCACAGACCAGAACCTCACAGTAAGTAGCTCCATGCAAAGTCAGGTTCTTATCAGCAGGACGCCGAGATGCTTCTCTCAAACTGGATGCAAATGGCTCAGTTTGAGTGTCGGACAGAGAAAATATGAGCTGACGTGTCCGTTTTATTGATGCATGTTTGAACTGATTTTATCAGCGTGAACCTGTTGAATACCTGCAGAGACTTCTTGGTTCAGGCTGTGGGACTCTGCTCTGGACACCAACTGTCTGAATGATATGTTCTTCCAGGAGAAGACTCGTTTTACGTGTTTGAGTCTTATTTAGAAATGTGGTGCCGTCCGTCACCGTCTGACAAATGGTTCAGTAAAAAATGTTTAATTAAAGTAGACGTGTTTCTGTATTTGAGGAGGCACAGACACATCAGGATTTCTCCACATGGAGTAATCAGTTTCACATTAACCTCATGTTTTGTGTTCTTAGATTTTAGACATCAGAAAACATGCACGGCAGCACGACGGGTCAGTGGTTAGCACTGTTGCCTCACAGCAATAAGGTCCTGGGTTCAATCCCCGGTTGGATCTGGGGTCTTTCTATGTGGAGTTCCCATGTTCTCTCCGTGCTGCGTGGGTTTTCTCCGGGTACTCTGGTTTCCTCCCACAGACCAAAGACATGCATGTTAGTCTGCCTTTAGGCCCGGGCCTCCTTCTGATCTCAGTGGGATTTGCCTGATAAAATAAAAGGTTAATAAATAAAGTTAAAATGTTCTGGTTAAAATTCAAACACAGTCCATATTAATAACACAGTTATTAATAAAAACATAATTTAGACTGTAAGTTTTAAAGTCCAAACCGTTTTTTTGTTTGTTTATTTGTTTAATAAATAGTTTTATCATTTGGGTTTAATTTTAATTTAATGTTACAATATTTAATGAATATGCTGGTCTCAGTCTCAGTCATCCAGGACATGATAAATTCAAAAAACATTCAGTACAAAAAAATAAAGTCCAGTTGTTTTTGTATTGAACGTTTTTTTTGAAAATATTTAATGAAATGAGCCTTTTGGAAGGTTTAGATGTTCTTGTGCTTGAAGCAGCGTTTAACTGCCACAGTGTGTGCAATCAAGTGATGTGATGTTGTGTTTGTATTTGTGTTTGTGGAAAGTTGTTTTTGTGTAAAGTGCTTGTGTTGTGATGGTTGACGTTGCGCTGACAGAGCTTCAGGAGTGGACTCTTCAGACTCGGTGCATCATGAAGGATTGTATCGATACTCTGATTTGAAAGTCTGCCTCAGGTTTCTGTTGTCCTGCCCGCTGTGGACGTCCTCTCTGAACACTTCCCTGGATGGATGTTGAAGCTGGAGTCCATCTTGAGAATGAGACAGAACCATCTGTTGGTGTTCAGCACCCTCACACCTTGTGTTAAATTCATTCGACTCCTGTTGTTGTAATTCATCAAATTGTTGTCCTCAAAGTTGTTCAATTAACAAAAGATTATTTTATTTGTGTGACGTCAGCAGGCCAGAAGTTGAGCCGTGGTCTGAGGTTAGATCAACGTGCACCGCCGCTCCAGAGGCTGACGCAGCTGCCATCAAAGACCCCGAAGTCGCCTCAGACGCCTCTGAACCTCCTCTAGCCGTCCTTGCAGCTTCCAGCCCACAGACCCAGCCCACTTCCAACATGGCCGACCTGTCTACTGACGACAGCAAGTACCTGTTCCTGGAAAACGACTTCCGCAACAGCGGGGTGGCCCAAGCCGATTGGACGGCCAAGAAGATGGTGTGGGTACCGTCGGAGAGGGAGGGCTTTGATGCGGCCAGCATCAAGGAGGAGAAGGGAGAGCAGGTACTGATGGCGTCGCCATGGAGACAAGAAGTGCAATTTAAAGGCTGATAATCTGAGTGAAATATCTGTATTCTTCTTTGTTGCCTTCTTTAACTAGTTTGATCTTAAAACTGCAGAGATTTACGGAGGTTTTCCTCCTGCAGGTTCTGGTGGAGCTCTCCAACGGTCAGAAGGCGACGGTGAACAAAGACGACATCCAGAAGATGAATCCACCCAAATTCAGCAAGGTGGAGGACATGGCCGCCCTCACCTTCCTTAACGAGGCGTCCGTCCTGCACAACCTGCGTGAGAGATACTTCTCCAGCCTGATCTACGTGAGAAACTCTTCAAGGCCCTCATTCATGCGTTCATTCAAACCCTCATGTGTTCATTCAAACTCTCATTCAATTCAAAAATGCTTTATTAATCCCAAAGGGAAATTATTTGTTGTTGTAACTCGTTATCCTCATTTCATTAAGAGATGTTATAGATACTGATGGCTGTAGACAGGAAGGATCTCTTGTAAAGGTTCATCCCACAGTGGATCCTAAGAAACTGGCTGTAGATGCCGTTCAATCCGTCCACCCAGACTCGGCTGGCCTCTCGGTTCCCCCGGGCTGTAGGACCGCCCGAAAGCCGGGCAGAACTCCTCCCAAAGCGATGGCTCATGCGTTCATTTAAACCTGCATGTGTTCATTCAAACCCTCATGTGTTCATTCAAACTCTCATGCATTCATTCAAACGCTCATGCATTCATTCAAACCTTCATACATTCATTCAAACCCTCATGTGTTCATTCAAACCCTCATGTGTTCAAACTCTCATGCGTTCATTCAAACCTTCACGTATTCATTCATACCCTCATGTGTTAACCCTAAACCTTCATGCATTCATTCAAACCCTCATGCATTCATTCAAACCCTCATGTGGTCATTCAAACCCTCACGTGGTCATTCAAACACTCATGCATTCATTTGCTCTCATTTTGAACAAGCCTCGAGACGTTCATTAGTTTATCAGAACCATACTGCAGTGAAGCTAAAACCCAGAAGAGAACCTGAACGCCTTTCCAGCAGAATTAACTGACTTTAACCTTCTCTAAAATACAAACCGGATTCCAAAAAAGTTGGGACACTAAACAAATTGTGAATAAAAACTGAATGCAATGATGTGGAGATGGCAAATGCCAATATTTTATTTGTAATATAACATAGATGACAGATCAAAAGTTTAATCTGAGTAAATGTAACATTTTAAAGGAAAAATATGTTGATTCAAAATTTCACAGTGTCAACAAATCCCAAAAAAGTTGGGACAAGTAGCAATAAGTGGCTGGAAAAAGGAAATTGAGCTTATAACGAACAGCTGGAAGACCAATTAACACTAATTAGGTCAATTGACAACATGATTGGGTATAAAAAGAGCTTCTCAGAGTGTCAGTGTCTCTCAGAAGCCAAGATGGTAAGAGGATCACCAATTCCACCATTGTTGCGCAGAAGGATAGTGCAGCAATACCAGAATGGTGTTACCCAGCGTAAAATAGAAAAGACTTTTAAGTTATCATCGTCAACCGTGCATAACATCATCAAAAGATTCAGAGAATCTAGAACAATCGCTATGCGTAAGGGTCAAGGCCGTAAAACTCTACTGGATGCTCGTGATCTCCCGGCCCTTAAACGTCACTGCACCTCAAACAGGAATGCCACTGTCAAGGAAATAACAGAATGGGCTCAGGAATACTTCCAGAAAGCATTGTCAGTGAACACAATCCACCGTGCCATCTGCCGTTGCCAGCTGAAACTCTACAGTGCAAAGAGGAAGCCATTTCTAAGCAAGCTCCGCAAGCTCAGACGTTTGCACTGGGCCAGGGGTCATTTAAAATGGAGTGTGGCAAAAGGGAAGACTGTTCTGGTCAGATGAGTCACGATTTGAAGTTTTTTATGGAACACTGGGACGCCATGTCATCCGGACCAGAGAGGACAAGGATAGCCCAAGTTGTTATCAACGCTCCATTCAGAAGCCTGCATCACTGATGGTATGGGGTTGCATGAGCGCTTATGGCATGGGCAGCTTGCATGTCTGGAAAGGCACCATTAATGCAGAGAACTATGTTCAGGTTCTAGAACAACATATGCTCCCATCTAGACGTCCTCTCTTTCAGGGAAGACCCTGCATTTTTCAACACGATAATGCCAGACCACATTCTGCAGCAATCACAACATCATGGCTACGTAGGAGAAGGATCCGGGTACTGAAATGGCCAGCCTGCAGTCCAGATCTTTCACCTATAGAGAACATTTGGCGCATCATAAAGAGTAAGGTGGGACAAAGAAGGCCCAAGACGATTGAACATTTAGAGGCCTGTATTAGACATGAATGGGAGAGCATTCCTATTTCTAAACTTGAGAAACTGGTCTCCTCTGTCCCCAGACGTCTGTTGAGTGTTGTAAGAAGAAGGGGGGATGCCACACAGTGGTAAAAATGGACTTGTACCAACTTTTTTGGGATTTGTCGACGCCATAAAATTTGGAAAAAACAGATTTTTCCCTTAAAATGATACATTCTCTCAGTTTAAACTTTTGATCTGTGATTTGTGTTCTATTCTGAATAAAATTTAGATGTTGGCACCTCCACATCATTGCATTCAGTTTTTATTCACAATTTGTTTAGTGTCCCAACTTTTTTGGAATCTGGTTTGTACATCAAATCAACATTTAACTAATTCAAAACTTCCAAAAGTCAAATATTGAAATCCACAGAATATTTCACTGAACATTGACAACAAATATCAACTTTAATGAATTTATCCTCAGTTTTAAAACCCAACCGTGATTTTCTCTTCTGTTTCTTTCATTCTTTTCTTCCTGTGATTAACTTGAACTTTTTCAACTAACCTAAAGTCTGTTAAAAATATTTTAAATATAAACTTTTATCTTGTGTTATCTTTAATCTGATACAGTAGTCCTTTGCTACTTCGCGGTTCGACTTTCGCGGTTTTTCAAAGTAAGATCGGACATGACACACAATTGGCTGATGGATGGATGAGCTGCACAAGCGGCATGGAATGTTCATTTAAAATAATTTATTTAAAATTATTTAGCACCTGCTGCACCTGTGTGCAGCCCACAGCTGCAGGGAGAAGCTCCATCCTGCAGCCTGTCATGATCTCCGCTCTCTGTCACCTGCGGCTGTCTGCCACGCCCAGTTCTCCTCTGCAATCACACTCATGCTCATCACCTGTCACTCCCAATCTCCCTCCTTCTGTGTAAATAAACAATTTAAATTTAAATGCATTTAAATACATGTAAATACATTTATTTGTATATAAATACAAATAAATTTAAACAAAAAATATATATTTAAAGTTTTATCATGAGGAGAAAGTCATCTCTGTATAACTCGATCACAGATGGAGAAGCCGAAGCTGCGATGACGTCAGAGGGAACGGAGGTTTGGTCAGATCACGTGATATGTGAACATACATCCGACAAACTCTCCAGAATGTGGAGTTTGGTTCTGAGATTCCGGGGTCTGAGTCCGTGTTCAAATACAGGCGTGGGTCATTCACAGAGGCAGGAAAAGCAAACGTTAGCTGGAATCGGTGGTCTGAAGGCTGAGCAGACGTGGAGGTCCAGATATCTGATCACGGGCAGAAGAGTCCGTCTTGTGGAAACAAAGACGAAGAATCATGAAGTGGGTCAGGAACAGACCAGGAACAAAAATGCTGAGAGAAATGCTGAGAGAAATGGTGAGATTGAGGAGGTCTTTGAAGTACTCTGCCAACCGACCCACGACATCCTGAGTTGAGGTCAGCAGCCCGCCATCTCCACTATAAACAGTTTTGGTGGTGTACCACTCCCACCTTGAGGCACCGGATGGTGGACCAGAATCGCCTCAAAGCTGTACAGAAGGCATTCTCCATGGCCTCTCCGAACTCCTCCCACGCCTGGGTTTTTGCCTCAGCGATCACCCGAGTTGCATGCCGCTTGGACTGCCAGTACCCATCAGCTGCTTCTGGGGTCCTACAGGCCAAAAGGGCCCAATAGGCCTCCTTTTTCAGCCTGACAGCATCTCTCACTGCCGGTGTCTAACACCAGGTTCGAGGGTTGCCACCGCAACATGCACCAACAACCTTGCGGCCACAGCTCCGATAAGTCGCCTTAACAATAGAGGCGCGGAACATGGCCCACTCGGACTCAATGTCCCCCACCTCTCCCAGAACTTGTTCAAAGTTCTCCCGGAGGTGGGAGTTAAAGTTCCATCTCACGGGAGCCTATGCCAGATGTTCCCAGCAGACCCTCACAATACTTTTGGGCTTGCCAGGTCTGACTAGCATCCTCCCCCACCATCGGAGCCAACTCACCACCAGGTAGTGGTCAGTGAACAGCTCCACCCCTCTCTTCACCCGAGTGTCCAAAACTTGCAGCCGCAGATCAGATGAGATGACAACAAAGTCAATCATTGAACTGCGGCCTAGGGTGTCCTGGTGCCAAGAGGACATATTCAATTCAAAAATTCAAATTCAATTCAATTCAAAAATACTTTATTAATCCCAGAGGGAAATTAAATAATATGGACACCCTTATGCTTGAACATGGTGTTCGTTATGGACAATCCATGATGAGCACAAAAGTCCAACAACAAAAGACCACTTGGGTTCAGATCGGGGGGGGGGGGGGGGGTTGTTCCTCCCAACTACACCTCTCAGGTATCACTGTCATTACCCTTGTGAGCGTTGAAGTCCCTCAGCAGAACAAGGGAGTCTCCAGGAGGCACACTCTCCAGTACCCCATCCAAGGACTCCAAAAAGGGTGGGTAATCTGAACTGTTCTTTGGTGCATAAGCACAAACAACAGTCAGAACCCATACCCCCACTTGTAGGTGGAGGGAGGATACCCTCTCGTTCACTGGGGTGAACCCCAACGTACAGGCACCAAGATGTGGGTCAACTAGTATGCCCACTCCTGCTCGGCGCCTCTCACCAGGGGCAACTCCAGAGTGGAAGAGTGTCCAACCCCTCTCAAAGAAACTGGTTTCAGAGCCAGAGCCATGTGTCGAGGTGAGTCTGACAATTTCTAGCCGTAACCTCTCAACCTCACACACCAATTCAGGCTCCTTCCCCACCAGAGAGGTGACATTCCACATCCCAATAGCCAGCATTTATAGCCGAGGATCAGACCACCAATGTCCTCACCCTTGGCCACAACCCATCCCACATTGCACCCAACCCCTTCGGCCCCTCCCACAGATGGTGAGCCCACGGGAAGGGAGACCCAATTCCCCTCTTTGGGCTGTGCCCGGCCAGGCTTCATGGGAAAAAGCCCGGCCACCAGGTGCTCGCCAGTGTGCCCCACCACACCCAGCTCCAGAATGGGGCCCCGGTGACCCACGTCTGGGCAAGGGAACATTGTTTCCATTAATTTTCATCATGATAAGGGGTCTTTGGGCTGCACTTTGTCTGGTCCCTCACCTAGGACCTGTCTGCCTTGAGTGACCCTACTAGGGGCATGAATCCCTTGACAGCATAGCTCCTAGGATCACTGGGACACTTAAACCCCTCCATCACGGTAAGGTGGCAGCCCAGGGAGGGGCTTAATATATACATAAATACAAAAATAAATATAACATCCCTACTTCATGTTTTTTCACATATTGTGGGCGTGTCCGGAACGTAACCTCACAATAAACGAGAGACTACTGTATTTAGTTCAAAAACAAATCTGTACCAACGAGCACTTCTGTAAAAAGGAAGGAAACAGAAAACTGACAGTAATCATAAAAATGTTGTTAATTTTTTATTCATAAAATAAAATGAGGCCGGGCAGCATGGGGGTGGAACTGGTAGAGCTGCTGCCTCTCAGTGAGCAGGTCCCTGGTTCAAATCCCAGTCCGGGGACCTTTCTGGGTGGAGTTTGCATATTCTCTCCGTGCATGCGTGAGTTTTCTTCAGGTACTCCGGTTTCCTCCCACAGACCAAAAACATGCATGTTAGGCTGATTGGTAACTCTAAATTGCCCCTAGGTGTGAGTGAGAGAGTGAATGGTTGTTTGTCTCGTTTGTCTCTATGTGGCCCTGTGATGGACTTGCGACCCGTCCAGGGTGTACCCCGCCCCTCGCACAGTGATTGCTGGACATGGGCACTGGCGACCCCAGTGACCCAAAATGGAAGAAGCGGACAAAAGTTAATGGATGGATGGATAAAATGAGACCAGCAGTTAAAACATGGCCTTTTCTTTTCAGACACGTCAGCTGGAGTCTCGGGTAAAAATAGAGATGAACCTTTTTAAAGAGTTTTTAAAACAACACTATGTGAGTCAGAAAGGAGGTTTTACTGCTCAGACCAGGTCCATGTCCAGGTCTCAGGACTGTGTGTCCACGTGGACTCAGGATGGATCAACATCTTATATTTTATTTTGGACCTTTTTTATTTCCTTTAAGGTCTAATAAGGTGCTGGACATTCCAACGTTTCATCATCTCTATGAGCTGAAACCTCCGGTCCTTTTAAGAGCAGGAAAAACAAGAACACTATGTGACCTTTGACCTCAGACAGATGCTCTGTTCACAACATGTAACCACAGGAGATGAACACATGAGGGCCCTGTTAATAAATACAACATGTAACCACAGGAGATGAACACATGAGGGCTTTATTCACAACATATAACCACAGGAGATGAACACATGAGGGCTCTGTTCACAACATGTAACTACAGGAGATGAACACATGAGGGTCCTGTTAATAAATACAACATGCAACCACAGGAGATGAACACATGAGGGTCCTGTTAATAAATACAACATGTAACCACAGGAGATGAACACACGAGGGTTCTTTTCACAACATGTAACCACAGGAGATGAACACATGAGAGTCCTGTTAATAACTACAACATGTAACCACTGGAGATGAACACATGAGGAGCCTGTTCATGTCGAGCAGTCAGAGGACAGTATTTCTGTACAGAAGCAGGATTTTTTAAGATCTCTGACTCTCTCTCCTTCCTTCTGCAGACGTACTCGGGTCTGTTCTGTGTGGTGGTGAACCCCTACAAGATGTTGCCCATCTACTCAGAGAAGATTGTCGAGATGTACAAGGGCAAGAAACGACACGAGGTGCCGCCGCACATCTACTCCATCACTGACAATGCCTACAGGAACATGCTGCAAGGTACTGAAAACTTTCTGACAATCATCCTTCTTCTTCTTCTTCTTTCAGCTATTCCCTCTTCAGGGGACACTACAGCAAGTCCTCCTCCATCTCACTCTCTCCTCTATGTCCTTTGTCCTCACTCCATCTACCTCCATGTCCTTTCTAACTGTAGCCATACATCTTCTCTGTCTTATTCCTGGCAGCAGCATTTCTAACATCCTTCTACCAATACACCCACTGTCCCTCCTCTGGACATGTCCAAACCATCTCAGTCTCTAACTTTATCTCCTAGTTGTTCAACCTGTGCTGTACCTCTGATGATCTCATTCCTAATCTTATCCATCCTTGTCACTCCTAAGGAGAACCTCAACATCTTCATTTCTGCCTCTTCCAGTTCTGTCTCCTGTATTTTTGTCCATGTCTCTGTCTACAGACCATACAACATAGCTGGTCTCACCACTGTCTTGTGAACTTTTCCTTTGACTTTTGCCGACACCCTTTTGTCACAAATCACTCCTGAAACTTTTCTCCATCCACTCCATCCTCCCTGGACTTTTTTTCACCTCTTTACCACACTCCCCATTTTCCTGGACAGTGGACCCCAAGTCCTTGAAGTTCCTTTGTTTCCCCTGGGTTACTTGCCTTGGGAGGGCACTTGTCTCTTCGGGAGTGGGGGGCGTTGACGCAGTGAAGAGAAGTGGAGAGCTGCATTTGTATTAAACGTGGGGGTGGTGTTTGGTTAACTTAATGCTACGTTTGTATAAGATATTACGACCAGATAAAACTTTATTGTCTCCTGAAATTCTCCTTTGACACGCTCTACATTCATCACACACACAAGAACCAACAATAGAACATAATAAAAACCACATTATCATCGTTAGTTAACAATGTTAAGATGTGTCTACTCAGCTTTGTTTAAGAACATTATTGCAGATGGTGCAAATGATTTCTTATAAATATTCTTCCGGGCCGGCGGGACTGGGTAACGCCTGTTTGATGGAAGCATCTGGAAGCAGTTGTAGTGGATGTGAGGGGTCCTCGGTGATCAGGGGGTCCTTTCTTGGTCACTGAGCTGCTGTAGAAGTCTGACAAAATAACTATTGTTCACGATTTGGAGTCTGATCTGAGCTGCTTATCTCTGCTCCCCTTCCGGAAGTGGTGGAGCTGCATGGGGGGTGGGGGATTTGGTTGACAGGGCGGGGCGCCTCCTTGGATAATGGTAGGAGAAACACTGAGTTCTGCACCTTTGTGCCCTCAGCTCCTTGTAGCTTCACTGTTTCACCGGCCTCCCTCTCATTCACACACATGTACTCTGTCTTACTATGGCTGACTTTAATTCCTCTTCTTTCAAGTGCGTACCACCATCAACTTTAATAACATGTGATGTGTTTCACATCATTTAAATCACATAACTTGAATTACATAATGTCCAGTTAGCTTAGTTTAGCTCAAATAGCTTCATTACATCTCCCACCACTAACAGAAATACTGTTTATTATTGTTACTGTTATTATTTAACATATTTAGTATGTTATAGTCCAGTGCCACGCATGAAGTATATGCCTGCCTCAACAGGTTAGTTAGCGATTTCTAACTCAATCTGAATGGCGTCTCTTCCCAGCACAGATGTTGGTCACAGCAGCTACATTCTGGTGTAGATTAACTACAAGACTCAAAATATATTCCATCAGTCGTAGCACAGAAAGCAGTATGTTATACTCTGCCACCATTATTGTTGATAGAAATACTGTATGCTGTCAGTCCACATGTGTGTGAAATATACACATGTACTGCACATGTGCTTTAACACCTCAGTGGGAGCTGTGTACATAACAGTGGGCGGCCGCCTCGAAAACCTCTGCTCTGACAGGTGGGATGAGAAACCTCCGGATTCAAAGAAGGGGGCGACTAGTGTTGCATAAATAAACAGCCGAACCCAGAGAGAAAGGTGCGATTTAACTCAAAATATGTGACGTGTAAACGGCCCCTTGGTCTCTTGGACACATCAAACATCTACCTTCCTTCTCTGCATCGTGTCAGCCAGCTCTCTACCTTTGCCTGTCATTGTCCCCACATTTAGAGTTGCAACCCTTAGTCCTACATTCTTGACTTTCCTCTTCTCCCTCTGTCTCATGACACATTTCCCTCCTCGTGGTCTTCGACTAACAGTAGCACAATTTCCGCCGGCACCCTGTTGTCAACAGCACCGGTGGTGGTCGTTGTTAACCCGGCCCTCGACCAATCCGGTATGGTTTCACGTCGATGAACTCGCATTATAGTTTTGGCAATAGTGTTTAATGTTGGAGGCCCTTCCTGACACAATCCTCACAATTTACCCGGGCTTGGGACCAGAACCAGACTGGCTGATGGTCCCTGGTGGCTGGTTTCTTTCCGACAATCAATAACCAGAAAAATAGCATTAATGACGAGATCCATGTCTGTAAGAAAATAAAAACAGCTCTTTATACATCTGATCCTCCAGCAGACACAAATCTTAAATTTCTGTTCCTGTGGAAAATATCTGGAACTTTGATACATCACAAGGATCTAATCTCAAAATTAAAATATGTGTTGCGGATGGAGTAACATTTTAATCTTTGTTTTAACTCTGTGTTGTTTAGAAGATAAATTATTAGAGGAATGGTATAGATTAGAATAAAACACAGTATCTCGCTGAGCTGCCGCAAGTGGGAACAATTACCATCATCGTTCACAATTGAGTCTCCAAAATGTCTCAAAACCATCAGCAGGGCTCTCTGAGGTCATGGATGTGTTCCTAAATAATGCAAGACACATTTTCTTCTTAACTAATCATAGAGTCATCACAGGTGTCTGAACCTGTCTCTAACCTATCCCAAACATGTCCCAGTCCAAACCTGTCCCAAACCTGTCCCAAACATGTCCTAGTCCTAAACATGTCCCAAACTTGTCCAAAACCTATACCGAACATGTTCCAATCCCAAACCTGTCCTAAACATTTCCCAGACATGTCGTAGTCCCAAACATGTCCCAAACCCGTTCCAAACATGTCCTAGTCCCAAAAAAGTCCCAAACCTGTTCCAGTCTCAAACATGTCCCAGTCTCAAACCTGTTTCAGTCTCAAACATTTCCCAGTCCCAAACATGCCCCAAACCTGGCCCAACATTGTTTCTGTTCTCACCACGATGGCGATATTTTTATCAAAGGAAATTATGAATATAAACCATAAAAGAATAGTTCCATCCATCCATCCATTCTCTTGACCCGCTCCTTCCTTTTCAGGTCATGGGGGTCACTGGTGCCCATGTCCAGCTGTCACTGTGCAAGAGGCGGGGGACACCACGGACAGGTCACAAGTCCATCACAGGGCTAAAAATATAGTTAGTCTTACAAAATAAAACTTAATTTGTGTTTGTAGCACTAACTCAAGGAATGTGTCTTAGCAGCAGTTCTTCCACAGTAAATCTTTAGACAGGTCCACATAAAATATAACTTTATGAACTGGAGTGGATTCCTTATAGAAGTTCTAAAATGAGCCGTGGGTGTTGAACTTCTTGGATAAGGGATGAGTGGTCGTCAGCCTGACTGAAGCCTCGGAGCATGCCGACCTCAAACCGCCTCCAAACTTTCCATTCAGACCCAGAACATCCATACAAGGAGCAGCAGGCCCCAAACCCAGCCAGAGCCCGGCATCTAGCTGCTATATTTAGAGTGAAGCAAGCGATGGAGGCTAATCTGAGCCGTTCATTCTCATATCAGAGTTCATGTTTGGTCTGACTTTGTGTGTCTCTTCACAGACCGGGAGGATCAGTCCATCCTCTGCACGTGAGTCCAAACGCACCGACTCTCCATCACACTGCAGCACCGACAGCACCTAAAGAGGCAGAGCCCAAACAGTCCAACTGAACCAGAGTCAACCTTTATACTCACATCAAACCTTTGTCCCAAATGTCCTGTCTATACATTTAAATGTGTCATTATCAGAGCTTTGGTGGCTCTTTTTGCTAAATATTTACTTAGACTTGCATGAAAACGACTGATCCTGCTCTCCACTGCTGGTCCTGGTTTCATGTTGACCCAGTTTCTGTTTCCTGTCAGCGGTGAGTCCGGGGCCGGGAAGACAGAAAACACCAAGAAGGTGATTCAGTACCTGGCTGTCGTGGCTTCTTCACACAAAGTCAAGAAGGACGTCAACCCCGTGAGTCAAAACTTTATGGACAAACAACAAAAAAGGTTGAATCATGTCATCTGGACTTCGTTTTTTTGTTAAAAAAGAAACGTTTCGCCCCTCATCCAAGAGGCTTCGTCAGTCTGAGGCCTAGCCATCTGGTATTA